AGTAAAAACGAATTCAGAAGAAAAACTTCTAAGATTCGGCTCATAAGCTCATGGAATCCTCATCGAACATATATATCCCCATCGAAAATCCCTTAGGCCCAACAATAAAACTACTCAGACATAATAAACGAAATAAAAAACATAGTATTAAAAAGTAGAATAGAAACCGAAATCGAAAAAGAAAGAACAAGGGTTCAAGAGACAGATCTCTCTCTCCCTAAAACCTAAAAACAAAGCTTAAAGTAAAATTTCTGTAAAGTATTTCGTCTCTTCTCCTTCTCTCTCTAAAAACGACCTAAATGACATGTATTTATAGTCTCCAATACTCTCTGGTGTCTAGGGTTCCGGAATTGAGGCTGGGAAAATGATACGGGCTTCAGAAATGGGCCTTCAAAGTCGGAGTTAGCTGGCCGCGGTCGAGATGTGCGTGACCGCGGGGAATGGGTGGCTGGCCGCGGTCGCGGTGTTTGTGACCACGGGGAATGACCTGTTGGCCGCGGGTGGAGACGCTTGCCGGCTGGTTTACGGGACATCTTGCTCGTCGCGTATCTTTTGATTGAACCGTTGGATTGCCAAGCTGTAAAGTGTTCTGGAAAGCTGATACTTCCATCTTTAAGATCTCCAAATTTGAGCTGGATCAGACGGTGAGAAGGCCTTCAATCGGGGGTGAACTTCTGACGGTTTGACTCCGAGCTGAAATCTGGTTTTCTATCCATTTTGTTAAGCTTTTCCCTAAATTACCTGAAAAGAGTCTTGGAACTACAAATACTAGAAAAACGTAATAAGAGCACTTAAAAGCAATTAAAAACATAGAAAAAGTATTTCAAAACGATCCATAAAAATGGTCAAAATACGGTGTTATCAGCTACCCGCATCAATCAAAATATACAGCTTATGTTTCCCATATTGTCATACCACCCCACATACAATTGTAGGAATATAACCCATTGAGAGCGTGATTGGAAATAGACAGAGCATTCTCTCCGTTAGGCTCAGTTGGAGTCTCGATGGGTGTAGACTCTGTAACTGGGAACTCCGTAAACTCATCATGATCTGAAGATAGCTCATCCTCAGCTTCCAAGAAATACACCTGAGAGCGCTTGTGTTTTAGATGATGCCCTGGTGTATAAGGTTCTTCGCAGAACATACACAGCCCCTTCGAGCGTCGCTCCTGCATCTCTTCGTAACTGAGCTTCTAGGGCCCTTTTCAGTGGTGTGTTTTGAAGGAAAACCCGGTTTGAGAGAGATCTGTTTGTTAGTCTCTGGAGTGGGAAGTAATGGAACAGTTTTGGAGTGCTTGAGTTGGAACTGGTTGTTGGATCGCTGGAATGGATTAAAGGGAACTCTAGCTTGCTTCACCGGCGTGTCGAGAAGCAAGGACTCGTGCAACTTGGCTATCCGAGCTGCTTCGGCCACCGTTTTGATGCTGAACTGTCTGGTGTGAAAATCTAAATGTGGGTTCATGTTGGAGAGGAAGATGCTAAAGGCGTGATGTGCAGGTATTGTCACCCTCGAGCAAAGTCTCTCAAACTTTTCATGGTATAACGCTAGTGATTGCGTGCATGGTGAGGGCGTCAAGTTTTACCTTAATGAAATCAATAAGCCGCAAGTACACAGCTGATTGTAGTACTTAGGGATCGAATCCACACAGAAGGAGGTTCTTTTCTGCAAAAGCCTTCGAAAGAAATATAAAGTAAGAAAGTCTAGAACCAGGCGATATTTTAAAGGGTTTTGGTGGTATCTTTAAAACGTAAAAACTAATCTAAACGGAAAAATATGAAAATCAAAATTACCTAATAGTCAACTAAAAACGAGGAAAACGACTAAACCTAAATTGTATGAATGAAATTGGCTGGACTGAGACTAGACCTAAAAACTTGAATAAAATCACTGGAAAACTTATAGAAATGAGATGCTGGGGTTTCAAGGAAATTCTCTCCGAGGATGAATGATTCAAAACATTGCTAAAAACCTAAATCAAAATATCCTCGCTAAAACTTTCAGAACTCGAGTCACAAACGTTTGAATACGCCACTGTCGTGATTATAACCAGCTATCTCTCCCAATCCTGACCAGTAGGTTTCCACTCTGGTCTTGGAAGAGAAAATATGCAAGCTTGCTAAAGACTCCTCAACATTCATAGTTTGCCCATAGGTAGGTTTTCACTCTTATGGTTGATCTGCCCTTCTCAAACTATATCTGGCCCTGGATAAAAACATTCGCAAGACCAAAGACCTAGATCAGATTGTAGTTCATGACGCTACTCCCATGCATTAAAAATAAGTTTAGAATAAAAATTTATAGGATTTGGCTTCAATAGCTAATGGAATCCTCATCGAACATGTATAGCCCTTATCGAAAATCCATTAAACCCAACAATAAAACTACTCAAACATGATTAAAGAAAGCAAAAACATTGTATTGAAAAGCTGAATAGAAATATGGTAAAGGAACAAAAAGGGTTCAAGAGATAGATCTCTATCTCCCTAGACCTAAAACTAAGAAAATGAAAGGCAAAAACTTAAAAGGTGATAAAAGAAAAATTGTATATATGTCTCTCTCATCTAGTGCTTCTACAACATGTATTTATAGTGTTCAAGTCATTTATGGGCATCACTTAGGGTTTCTCCAAAGGAGGGAATCGACTTAGGTTTGAAAATGGGTTTCTAGACCGGACAGACCAATCTCCGCGGTCGGGAATGACGGGACCAATGCGAATTGGGTGTTGGCCGCGTGTAAGAATGCTTGCCGGCTAGTTTACGGGACATCTTGCTCTTCGTGTAACTTTTGATTGAACTGTTGGTTTGCCATGCTGTAAAGTATGCTGGAAAGCTGGTAGTTCCATCTTTAAGGTCTCCAAATTGGAGTTGGATCAAACGGTGAGAAAATCTGCATTCGAGGGTGAACTTCTGACGGTTTGACTCTGAGCGGAAAATCTGGTTTTCTATCCATTTTGTTAATCTTTTTCCTAAGTTTCCTAAAAAGAGTCTTGAAACTACAAGTACTAGAAAAACATAATAAAAACACTTGAAAGCAATAAAAAACATAGAAAAAGTATTTCGAAACAATCCATAAAACTGGTCAAAATATGGTGTTATCAGCTAGCATATCGCCGGCTTGTTTCAAGCTCACAAGCTCCGACATCGGGTCATCATATAGCTCCGCAAATCGAGATGAAATGCCATCACATAATCAGTCCAGGAAGGGATCTCACCATACCTTTATGCGAGGTAGTTGCGATGCCATTCTAGTGCGAGTCCGGAAAGGTGTAGAGCAGCCAATCGAACCTTGAGATTTAGTGGCGTACCATCTAGATCGAATTGCTCACATCGGAACACCCAACCTCGTAGATCTGAGCCATCAAAACCAGGAAAACCCATTTTGGTCAGTCTTGAAGCTAATCTGTTGGGTAAGACGGAAGAAATCTTGGCCCCACTCAGTTTAGGCGGAGCTGGTGACTGGAACATCCCTGGTGAAGGGACTCCAACTGGAGGTGCGTGCGTTATTTCCTCCGACGACGAAGCGATCGACCCCACTCAGCTCAGGTGGAGCTGATGACTGGATCATCCTTTGGGAGAGGACTCCAACAAGAGGTGCGATCCTTTTCCCATGCGGACGTTGCTCCACCCCATTCAGATCTTGTGGATCCGGTAATTAGACCATCCCTTGAGAAAGGACTCCAACTAGGGGTGTAGCGCAAGGCCCTTGATTCTGCATGTGTTGAGAACCGGACCCTTCTCGAGAGAAATAAGAGCTAATCATCGATTCGAGTTTACTGAATCGTTCTTCGAGTGCGTCGGTTTGGGTTTGTTGCTCCTCGAGCTGCTTCTGTTGCTGCTGTCGCAGCTCTCCTCCTTGTTCAGCGAGTGCTTGTTTGGCTTGTTTTTCCTGCTGGCGAGTTTCCATACCCATTTCTCAGCTTTAAAGATCGTGCAAAGCTCTGTTACTAATGAAACAGTAAATTTGAGAGAATGATAAATCCGATCTTGAGAATCTTCGAGATTCTTAAGAAATATGAAAACAAGGAGTAAAAAGTTGTTACAAGTTTAGAAGGACCACCTTGAAATCTAGATTCGACAATGATGTTTTAATGGCGTCAGAAGAAGAGAGGATAAAAAAATATCATTTTTTCATTAACTTTTGGAAAATGCCCAAATATAGTAAAAATAGAGTGACGCTAAAAACATGAAATTGACACATGATCATAAACCGAATATGCAATTACAAACCGAAATAAGATGAAGATTAAACCAATATAACCGGATGCTTATTGAAAATGCAAAGACATTTATTAAAAGTGCAAATGAGACCGAATGGGGATAAAATCTCGATAACAATACATGAGAAATAATCAATCAAAATTTTGAGAAACTCCACAAATTGATCCCAAAAAAAAAGATAAAAAAAAACATAAATCAATTGATCTCAAAATCTGGTGAATTATGCATCTTCCCCATTTTTTTTGTATTTGTCGATTTCATATTTCATTCTCATTTATTTCGCCTCTCTGTTTCACATCTTCAACTCTTCCATTCTTTCTTGAGTCTATCTATATTATTTCGTGTGGAGTGGGAATTCCAGAGATAAGGTCGATTTCAGAAATCGATTTGGTGAAAATCGATTGGGATACATGGTTTGAAGAAATTAGATTTAGGGTTCTATATATATTATTGATGTATTTTTCCAGTTCTTTCCCAAGATTTTGCCATTGCCCAATTAAAGTGAGCTTCTTACTTATCCCGTCATTTTATGCCCACACACATATGGGCTCTTATTGGGCTAGGGTTTACCACAATAAGATTAGGGTTTCTCGTTACGCCGCCTCGTACTTATCTATATAAATCCAGCTTTCTCTCGTCATCCCTCTAATATCCTCTCGAACACATCTGTAGCTATCGAAATTCTCTGATTCCCGAATTTTCTCTAAAATAACGAGCTTATCGTATGGTTTTTTTTTGTTTTGTTTCCAATTTTCAAATTTGTGGTTTTGAAATTTGATTACCCGATGAAGAAGAATTCCCATAGATAGGAAGTGCCGTATGACACTTTACACAACAGCTTACTGATCGAGGATTGCATCCGGTTTAGATATCCCAATCCACCGATTCAGCTGTTCATGAACCGAATTCGGATCTTAACCCGATTCCGTTTACGGTTACGGTTCGGGCTGACCGGTCCGGTTATCTTCACCGTACTTTCCCACCGTTCTGTGTTCGCTGTGTGGGTGATTTGAAAAGGGTTCCTGAGGGGTTTTAATTTTGATCTTTTTGAATAACTTTGTGATGAAATTGTCCGATGCCACGTCGATGATAGCTTCTGGGCTTTGATCTTTGATGCTACATTGGACATAAACAAATGTTTGTGTTTCGCTTTCTGATAGGAACCTGTGGATCTTGATCATTCTACGATCTACGGAGCCATTTCGGCGATTACATTTATCTTAATCGAAAATTTTGATTTTAAGAGTAGTTAGTGGGAAGAAAGCCTATGATGATTATTGCTAAAATATGGAATTACCGTCTGAGTTTATTTCTTTGATGTAAAAAACGCTGGCTAAACTGAGGCTTCCCCAATTAAATAAAACTTTTCTTATGATCTACATATTTTCAAAACTAAAATTGAGGTAGTTCTTAGTTAAAATTAGATTTGAGTTTCCCAATTTAAGGGGTTAGATTATGATGACTATCTTACAAGATTCCAATTCGATAACGAAATGTGTTTGACTATTTGAAGTAGTGATGTTTTTTCCAACAACCGAATTCGATTAAGATGAATGATGAGTAACCTAATCTGTTTAAAACTTAATTATGTGAATCATGTGAATCTAATGGGCTTACATTGAGTGAATAAATGATGAAAAGTTAAAGAAGTACTCGATTCACCAATTTCATAACAAGAATTATTGAAAGTACAGAAAAGAAGTAAAAACGCTACTACAAGAATGGAGGTTTATCAATAAAAACCCAATTTGATTAAAAGTTATTATCCACTTAATAATTAATGAAAAAGTTTATACAAGAACTCAATTTCAATACAAGAAAATTATCTGATCAACAATTTTCGGAATCTACATAAAAGGTTGAATCTTGAAGTAAAAAACTACTTCAACAATGTTGGTTATTATCAATTGATGAGTTTATTGAAGAACTCAATTTGGTTAAAACTCTATTATGTAATCTAATGGGTATAGATTGAGTGATTAAATGATGAAAGTTATAATTACAGGTGAACCAGAAATACGATTTGAGATTAAGAACTTATTAAATCTACAGAAAAGAATAAAATATTGAATCTTGAAGTATAATAACTACTTCAACAATGGAAGTTATCAATTAAAACCACCACCCAAAAATAGAATTACCAGAATTTAAAAGCTTCTTGAGAAGACTCTGTTTCATCTGCTAAGTAGGAGGGAAGAATCTGTTGAGATTAAAAGGCAAAGTGTAAAACTCTCTATTACCATTATTTCCACTGAAGGTTCTAAACTTTACGCACCAAGGCATGCCTCTGTCTTTCTTTGATCTCTCAGCTTCAACTGTATTGTCCATAAAAACCGCAATGATCAATCCCACAGTCGCCGGAGACATAAACACCGTCTTCAAGAAGGCATTGAACCATCCTGCATTTGTGTGAACTAGCCCGTAATATCTAGGTGTCCCAGTTCTGAACAAAGAACTGAGGTATCGAGATGCCGAGACACAGCGAAAGACCAGTGATCGTCAAGTTTCTCATTGAGTTCATGTTTGTGAACTGAAGAAATGAGAGTCCAACAGCAGCTGCAAGAAGAAGAGAACACACAACAAATGTAATGAATCAATCAAACATGATGTCTTTATTAATCTTTGTGGTCTTCTTACCTACTAGAGACCATAATTAAATTGCTGAAATTCGTAAACTTTGGACAGAAATATTATCATTCGGCATGCATATGGTTTTTCTGTCTTTTGTGTGGGGAGCACGTGTTGTCTTCCTTGTGTAGTAAGCACATACGATGAAATATCTACCAGATAATGAAATCTTACATTTGAATAGAGAATAGGAAATGATGGAATAATAAAGTAAGCATTAATGTCGTTCCTAAAATTCTTCGGTAGAAAGAGACTGACTTCGTTTGTTCTGTTGGTTGATTAAAAATTAGTGATTTGGCCTACACCCTATGCGGAGTTAAATTATAATTTTATATGTTTTCATTAATATTTTTTATTATTTTTGTATAAAGTTTATAAATATGTTTCTGCTATAACATGAATGTTATTTTTGTAATTTAATAATTTAGTTTGTTTTTAAAATACACATATAGTTCGTAGAGTTTTTGATTTAAAATGTATTTGACGTTTTTTTTATATTTTAATAGTTATATTCTTGTCTTCTAATGTTCAATAACTGCGGGAAAAAATTAAAATTTGTATTGGAATAGTTGTTTTTAAGTCTTAACCTTACTCTTTAATCGCAATTTCTTTGTAAAAATTATATGTTAAATTTGTTTGTTCAACTAAATAGCATCCACTCGTAAGTAACAACCGATATCTGTCAAACAAAGAAATATGTAAAATAGTGCAACAAATGACTTTAATTAGAAAATGAATATAAAAGTGACAAATATCTCTAAAGAATGAAAACAAAAAGATGTTCTTCTAGTTTTTGTAAACATATCGATTAAGCACAAAATTTTAGCATAATCTTTCTTGCAGACAATATTCATTGTTTTCTTTTGTGGTACTCTTTTCTCCTCGGTAATAAGTATTTTCAAATATTTTCTAGATGTTACTCTTGAAACTGCAACGTAGAGCTGATCGTGAGAGCATACAGTTTGGCTAAATTCAACATTAACTCTCTCAAGTGTTTGACCTTAACTTTTGTTAATAGTCATTGCAAAAGCAAGTGTTATGGGGAACAATCTACAACACATGCGTCTACCAGTGTTACAAACATCCTCAGTAACATGATTTGCCAACTTAGTCACCATCAATCTTGTGCACAATCCACTCTTAGGGTCAATGTTTTGTAGTAACATTGTTGGAGCTCCCAGCTTCAAGAATAGTTCGTGATTAGACATACCTAAAATCTTAATGCTATTCAAAAACCCTTGCATATATACGATGTCGTCAGCATCACTTGTGTCTGAAGGCTCAATACTATCTGCAATTAGATATATTTTTTCTTCTTGTGAATATTTAATAATTTCAAACATTAGTTACATATAATAGAATATTAATTTTAGTACCATTTTTAATAATCATTCAATATTTAATTTGAAATACGAATGTATAAAACATTTTTAAGATGAAGATCGCTCATGACTAAGTCCATATTATTGTTAAAATACGTCTCCATATTTTAAATTTATTGGCCGAATTATGATATTGAAATTGTTTTCAAAGTTTGAAAAATACCTGGTAACTTTGATAGTATATATTTGTTTATGATCTCCACATCCGCATTCCTAGGACTTAAGATAGTTCTATCTCTAAAGAACTGTGCATCTGTATTGGTGGTAAACCGATTCATAGTAAATCTCCCAAACAATTGATCGTACAAGATCGTCACAATCAAGAATTAGCAAATCTTCTTGTATCTCAATTTCGACTTCTCCAGTAATAGGCTCGTTTATTTTTCCATCACCAATATCTAATATCCACTTTAAGAATGCTTAAAGATCTTCAGTATCATCATCAGTCAGATCTGCGTGCAATCTCAGATTTCATGTAAGTTGTAAAACTTTACATTTGCGCCAAAGCACTGATGAATTTAAAGCAGCCATCGCGGTTTGAGACCTTCTGATATTACTGGCAAAATCTATCTAAAATCACTGCCAAAAACAATCACCGTACCACCAAACGGTTCCTGATACTAATATATTACACATGCTTCTATGCAATGTCTCGAAGAAGAACTTGTTCTTCATGGGGGCCTCATCCTATATTATAAGTCGAGTCTCTTTAATTAATTCCGGCAAATACGAACCCGACTTTATCGTGTATGTGGTATGGTTATTAACATTAATAGGAATGCCAAATCTAGAATGTGCCGTTCTTCCACCTTGCAATAGCAGTGATACAATCCTACTTTACCTTTTGATCTCAAAGCAGCTCCTAGAACACTCAAAGTTTTCCCAGTATCACCAAAACCGTAGACGAAAATAAAGACTCCACCAGCATCGAGGTTCACTGCGTCTAATATCTCCGTGTAAATCCCAAGCTGTTCATCAGTTATCTTTGACATGAGCTCAATATGTTTTTCTCGCAGTTCGTTTCGATTATAACTCTTCTCGTCACATAGTAAAGTATTTTTGTATTTGTTGATCTCGATCTCATCCGGACAGGACATCTTATTGAAATCGGATAGAGAATTACCACTCGCACGCAACAGCTTCTCCTTATCTGATAATGTGAAGTTTTTAATTTCTTAATCATCAATAACCAAATCTGCGAATAGAACTGGAAAAAATTAGCAGAAAATAATTTAAAGTGAATACGACATACTTATTTGTGCAGAGTTAGAAAGTTATGCAAGTTAAGATGATGGCAATAGAAATTGTGAGGTTCCAGCAGAAAAATTCGTGAATTTGTTAAAAACTGGATAAAAAAATTGATGGCCAAAGTTCTACAAGTTTTTGCAACTTCTAAAACACATTTCAAAGTGGTGATAAAAAATTAGGTGCTTATTAGTTTAAGTGGAAGCGACCTTTTTATTTTCCTAAAGTAGCTAAATTCTGCAATTATAGATTTATACGACAATTGTGAAATCCATAGCTTATAAAGATGATTTAACATGAGGTGATAGAGACTTTGAAAACACATCTCCATAGCTTATGAACTCTGGAACTTTCGAGCTCATTTAAAAACGATAAAACGCGAACAGGACTACATGTTTTATCATTAAATAAATTTTGATCAAATCCAAGACTTCGAAATCATGTTAGCAGGAAAAAGATGACTTACTTGGTCGATCTTCTTTTGTTGGTGTAAAATATCATCTGATAGCATTTCCCAAGTTGCATTCCATACATTTAGGATTGACCCAATACTATTCGATAGCAACATTATAACAAATAGTTTACGTAGAAACCGTCCAGATCCCCAATAACTGGCTTCTTTGATTGCTACAATATATTCTTTGTCATAATCCAGCAATCCTAATTGAAAGCAAGCTTCTTGGAAAGTAGCATAGAGCACACCGTTTACTATAATAATATATTCTAAACATGTAGGTCCTTTCACGAGGTTAAGTAAAACTCGTAGACAGTATACTTCGCCTAATGTAGGCGGCACATATGTGATCCTGCCTATAGTTTTTCGTAGTTTTCGTGGCTCCCAAGTTCTTGTCTTGACATGCCAAGCAAACTCAGTTGGGAAATCATCATAAATGAGCTCTTTAGCTTCTGGATACATATTATTGCATTCCATCCACGCTAAGAATTTTGACCGACTAATAGAC